CCCTTTTAAAGGAGTGTCTCTGCACCATGGCTTGGTCTGGTAACTGGGCGACATGATGGCTACACGCCTTCGTAATCGGTGAGGTCGTCTTCGCTGCAAATTTGGCTCCACCCGCTCCGAGTGCAAACGGAGCCACAGACTGTTGTGTCTTAGAGACGGACACAGGCCCCAGCCGGACGTTGGTGTGATCCCCAAGACCCCAGACAAATTGAGGCGTGTCTGAGTAAGAGTACACTTTAACCGTTTTTCTGCTCCTCAGCCTAGTTGCCAAGGCGTGGATGGAAGGCCTTAGCAACAGTGACATGCATTGGATGGGAAAAAGTGAAAATCGTGTTAGATTGTCAAGAAACGCAACAAACACGAAATGTTGACAAGCCGAACGAGGTTCTGTGATGTCATAATCGGCTCGAAGTTCGCCCAGATCCGGTTGGAAGAAGAGCAGCCAGTACAATTTAAGCGTCAACGAGCCATTCTTTCGACCCAGGCTGACTATGCTCTTATGCGAGAATTGCTGACATTTCCCATAATTAACCAAATCGCAAATGAGTGACCACTTTAAATGTGATGAGATGAGTGGGAAAACTCAACTACAATCATACTAATCACTTTAAACGAACTTGATTGGTCAATTGCTTACTCAAGAGGTAATGTTCGTCTCGGAAACACAACATGTGGTAAAATTCATCGAAGATGTGAAGAGAAGGTGTGTTTCGAAGACTCCTTGAGCAGATTTGATGAAACAGACAAAAGCACAAGGCAACCCTCCGTCGGTGTCCGGTGGGGCCGATCTACGAATACCTTCCAGCCGCCTTCTCAATCGAGATGGAAGGTGTGAAAAATTGACCCGTCAGCGATCAAGTCTCGCCAAGTAACCCAGGCCGACAAGTTGGCTTTACTGAAATATTCTCGCTGAGCTTGTGTTCGCAACATGACAGCATCAGAGCGCAGAGTACCATTCTCACAATCACATTCAAGTTGGGTAAATAAAACTCACCGGTTTATCCATAATTAATGCAGGGTATACTCTAGACTTCTACTTGACTGAGGTAGAAAGGAATTTGGTGAGGTCAAAGAGACATGCAAGCCTGTCTGTAGATGTGTGCTTATGTCCCTTGGCGTGTACGTGTGCGCACGAGCGTGGAGAAATTTAATAAAAGTCTTCTATCATCATTAACGAACTAGGGGAAATACATGTCACAGGTATGATCTACTGGTAGTTTCTCAATATTTACTTATAAACTAACAAGGACTTGAGGCGATCTAAGGAGATTTGAGGACTGGTAGTTGAAGGTTCCCAGAAAAAGGATGGGTAGACCGCAGGCTATCATTGAGGGTTACTCTGGCTTGCCTGGCAAAAAGCGAACTGATTCAGAAGCAGGAATACAGTTTTACAATTGCCACATCATTTAAAGTAGAACCCACACAAAGGACTTTGCATAATAAGGCTAAGTATTATTTAAAGAATTGCTGAAGGCCACGTAGCATACTCAAAGAGAAATGAAGATAACTTTAGGGGGGAAAAAATGGTTCTTTAGCAAATGGAATAAAAGTAAAAAAGATTAAAGCGTGGTATTGGTGGTCAAGTGGTACATTATCTTTACATAGGAAAAGGTCTGGGTTCCAAGTTGGGTCAGATGAATTCACAAGTGCTAGTACTAAATAATCGTAATATACACAGGAAAACAAAAAATTGATCATATCAAACCACCACGACTAACATCACACCACACCACATCACAATACAACACAACAAAACACAACACAACACA